CCGACAGCCCCCACGGCACCCACCGACACTGGAGGAAACGGCTCTGTTCATGATGTCCAGGGCTTCATTGAATTTCTCCTTGATGGAGGGGTGGGCCAGCACCTGGTCGGAAAACATGGACTTCCAGCCCAGGTACCACTTGGTGATCTCCTCATAATTGGGGTTGTTGCTGAGCCAAGAACAGAGCACCTGTGGGGGGGGGGGAGGAAGAGGACCACTGACTTTAGGGGCCCTTCCGTGCCGCCCCTGGCAGCCCAAGAGTTCAAAGGCCGAGGACATGCTCCTGAACAAGGGAAGGGCCACCTTCTGCAGCAAGGTTGAGGGACCAAGAGGCCCAGCGGCTTTAGGGCTCCAACCGCTTGGGGCACGGTGGCTCTTAATCCCGGCCGGTCCCCGAGGGCCACCCACCTGAAGCCACTTGGGGAAGAAGTGCTTCTCCAGGAGCCCCACCAGGCTGGAGACAGAGATCATCCCTTCCCAGTCCATCACCCAGAAGAAGGCGTCCATGTGCTGCTGGTGGGGGTTGATGATCAGCTCGTTGAGACACAGGCCTGTGGGGAGAGGAGGGAGGATCAGCAGTTAAGGCTGCACAGACATTAACTCACCCTCCTGGGGGGCACAGCACAGCTGCTCCCCCATAAGCAGTCCAGCCTTTATATTTTGCATCGCATGAAATTAACTGCTTAGTTTTGCAATGCCTGACCGTCTTGGGCGGGCTGCAGGGGGATCCCAAAAACTGGACCAGGGAGGAGGAAAGCAAGAGCCACAGCTGGAGCTGGCAGTTTTCTTCCTTTTGGGGGGATGATTCCCGCCTCAGCTCTAAATCTCCACATGGGGATCATCGACTCACAGCTAAGCTGGCCCTGATCCTCCCTGCTGTTGGAAACGTGATTAAAATACCAACAAAATTGGATTGGTAAGAAAAAGAGTTTATTCTGCAGAAAATAGAAAAGCAGTTTGCAAAGTGCGGTGGATCCTGGTGAGAGACTTCAACAGGAAGTTCTAATCCCAGAGACCACACCAAAATATTCAAACTCACAACATTATATACACTCCTATCGCGACGCCCCCATCC